GTTCTCTCCCCAATGTTGTGGAGATGATAATTCCATTTCAGGTTTTTCTCAAACGTCCGCTTTTGAGATTATAATTTCCTATGGTTCTCTCCCCAATGTTGTGGAGACGATAATTCCATCCCAGGTTTTTCTCAAACGTCCGCTTTTGAAATTATAATTTCCTATGGTTCTCTCCCCAACGGTGCGGAGATGATAATTCCATCCCAGGTTTTTCTCAAACGTCCGCTTTTGAGATTATAATTTCCTATGGTTCTCTCCCTAACGGTGCGGAGATGATAATTCCATCCCAGGTTTTTCTCAAACGTCCGCTTTTGAGATTATAATTTCCTATGGTTCTCTCCCCAACGGTGCGGAGATGATAATTCCACTCCAGGTTTTTCTCAAACGTCCGCTTTTGAGATTATAATTTCCTATGGTTCTCTCCCCAACGGTGCGGAGATGATAATTCCATCCCAGGTTTTTCTCAAACGTCCGCTTTTGAGATTATAATTTCCTATGGTTCTCTCCCCAACGGTGCGGAGATGATAATTCCACTCCAGGTTTTTCTCAAACGTCCGCTTTTGAGATTATAATTTCTTATGGTTCTCTCCCCAATGCTGCGGAGACGATAATTCCGTTCCAGGTTTTTCTCAAACGTCCGCTTTTGAGATTATAATTTCCTATGGTTCTCTCCCCGAGATGGTAATTCCCACCAAGATTTTCTCAACGTTTGCTGTTGAGGTTAAAGTCATCCAAGGTTCTCTCACCATTCCTGTTGAGGTAGTAACCATCCCCGGTTCATTCATCGCCTTTTGAACCTCCGGATTCAGCTCCTGTAACCAGTCAGGACACATCTATACCAAGCATCTGAAAACAGCTCCTGCAACATGTCAGGTAATCATTTTCTGTTTTGCAGGTACGCAAGTTCTCGCTAAGGAATCTCTTACGCGATCAACATCCAGATGGCATCTGTAAGCCCATTTCCACCATCACTGCTACTATGTGAGCGCAAATTTCTGGGCACTCTAGTGTTCAATCATCTTCCACCCTCGGATTACGAAAGGCACGTCAGCCAATCTGCATCCTCAGGTCTAAGAAGATTGAACAGGGGCAACTGTTGTACCCCAAAATTTGCCCTCCCATATTCTTCAAAGATTTGCCAAGTCAAAGCTTCAAAATTCCCCAAGGGTTGCACAGTTCAAGGGCCTCTTAAGCAGGCAAAATTAGGGTTTTGGTTCTGATCAAGAAAATGAAGTTTCCAAGGGTCCAATCAAGTACCCACATGCCTACAAATATGGTCAAGCATCCTCATATCAAGTTTCAAGACTTTCAGCACAAAATTGCACAGTCAAAAACCCTAATTGCACTACAGTCAACTGTAGGGGCAAAATGGTCATTTGACAGTCAAAAGTTCAAATTTTTGATCAACATATCATTTTGAAGCCACAAAAATTATTTGATCAATGCTTGATCATGATTCTCAAAGCTTGGCTCAAAAATCATCAAGATGCAAAAGTTTCCTTATTTGGACAGTTGAAAAAGTCAACTGTAAATTGACCAGGGCATAACTTTCACATGGATTACCAAAAAAATTCCATCCAAAGCTCATTTTGAAGAGAAAGACATTTCCTACAACTCATCTTCATACTTCAAGTCCAAGAAATGCTCTCACAAAAAGTTATCAATTTCAACATTATAGGTCATTTTCAAAAGTCAACAAAAAGGGACTTTAAGTCAAAGGACATAACTTGAGATTGGTAAATCAAAATGACATGGGACCAAAGGCATTGGTTAGAGGACTCAAAGACCTTTCCAAAATGTCCAAGAACATGAGCAAAGCTTAAAAATTGAGCACGTTATGCCTTGTGGAAGTTGGGAAATTTTTGGATATTTTGAAAAGTCAACATTGGTTCAAATGACCTAAAATTGCTAATGGGCCTATTTTTCTTCCACAATTCATCATCCCAAGCATGTGTACGACCACTTGGACCAAAGGGAAGTATTTCTTCATTTTTTATTTATTTATTTGAATTTTTATTAATAATAATTCATTTAAATCAATTAAATACATGAAAAATATTTAACCTAAGTTTTTCAATCTTTTTGTGCATGAAATATACTCAATAATTCGTGCATAATCAAATATGGGAAGATTTGAAGAGAATTGGTCATGATTGGTACAAAATAGCATGGAAAATATTGAAAAAAGATCTTTGAAAATCAAATCTCTCAAACCATGAATGCCAAGGATTTGGATTGTTTTATTTGACCTAATTCACTCATACTTATACAAAGAACACAAACCTAATGAAAAAAACCCCTAAGCTGCGCAAGAATCTGAAGATCAAACTCGCACTTTTTCTTAAAAATCTCAATTCTGAAAACACTTTTGCAGGGCGATTCAAGGCAAGATTTTCATCTCATTAGCTTCCTGAAGCTTCAAGGAGAGTTTTCCAATCAAAACCAATCGTTCTAACACCCTAGATTGGTAACACGACCTCGCCCTGTACAGAAAAAATCTCATAATCTTGCATCTCGATTCATGCACTTTTAATAATTTTTGATGCTTGATTCATATTCAATATTCAATTCTGAAGCTAACCCATATGTTTGGTTGAATTTTTATGCACCCTACGCGAATCTACCATTATCGTTTTTTTAGGGTTTGAAGAACTTTGAATTGGGGTTTCCCAGTTCAGGAAAAATTAGAACCCCACAGTACCATAACTGGATTCAGCATGATTGGACGATCACAAGGCCATCCTCGCGCTCAATTTATGAGCATCCATGGCCTAATCGTTATTTTCTGTAATGGTGTCTTAGGGAACGGGTTAAAACCGTTGCCAATGTTTTGATATTTTCAGGAAAAACAAATAAGCGAGGAAGAAGATGATGCGTGGAAGGGCACCATTGGAGCATTCAAATTTCGCGCGCTGACTTTCCATTAACCATTATTTTCTCATTATATTATTCTTCAATTATTTAATATACAAGAAGCGCGTTCAGTACGATTGGCAAGGCATAAAACTGGTAATCTCTAGGACCTGGGTTCGAGCCCCAGGTCCCCCATCCCTTTCATGTTATTTTTACTAACGCGTTTGTATGTAATTTCGTGACCAAGGAACACCGTGCATCCTCCAAATCAAGCTTGCCACGTCTATCTCAAGATCAATCAGAAGGCTAGAATCTGGAGAACACCATAGGCATAAGTCAACGAAGCTACACGTGGTCAATAAAGTCAACAAGGCCAGGACCTTAATGGGCCAGAATTACCACAATTTCACCTCCACTCTGGGGACAGATACCCCCCCTTGGTTTGCAAATTTTCTTCACTTTCTTTATTTTTCATAATTTTTGTTTTCTTTTAATTATTGTTTGTTTAATTAATTTAATGTTTTCATAAAATATAAAAAAAACACATAAAAATCAGAAAAGAGAAAAATAATAAATATTTTTATTTTTAGTATTTTCATAAATAAATTATATTGATTCATTTAGTTATTGAATTAGGGTTACTTATAATATTTTCATGATAAAAATCTAAAAAAACATAGAATTAGGATTTAATTAATTTTCATCTTTTTTATTTTTCTTCCATAAATAATTAAAATATTAAATATGTATTTTTTGTAATTAAAATGCATGTAAATTAATTAGGGTTAATTTTAGGGTAAAACTTTAATCTTCTTTTTAATAAATTAAAATAACTAGAATTAGGGTTAGCATTTATTTTAATTAATTCCTTTTCCATTAAAATTACAAAATACCAAAAAATACCAAAAAGACAATTTCTTTTCTTTCCTTTAATTAATTAATTTCATCACTTAATTTAATTTTGCAAAAGGGTCCAACGCCCTCGTTTAATTTTTATTTAATTCGCATATTTATTTTATTTCGTTTAATATTTATGTACCTCTCCCAAGGCCTTGTAATTGATTTCTCGTACTTTTAATTCTTTTATTTTCTTTACTTTATTTCTTTATTTATTTTTTCTGTCAAAACGGGTTCGAGAAATTTTGGCGATGTGGACCCGCGCCTTTTGTAATAGCTTAGAATCTTTTACTTTCTCGCAATATTTTAACTGTTAATCAAGGCATGAAAGAATGAATGGACAAAAATAAAAAACAAACGCTAGATCACCAATAACATGACAAAAGGCAAAAATAAATGAAAACGACACACAAATCACACACCACCCCTAGGGTATGCCTCACTGTTGCCTTGCCTCGAAAGGTGATCGTCGAGTAGAGGATGTCTTAGTAAGTCCTCATGATCCGGGAACCTGGCATGAGGGTAGCTTCTAAGGTGTCTTCCCATTGCTCTGGTGATCACCATGTCCCGAACCTCGAATTGACCCGAACACCTCCAACGGTGGTGCTACCTACCTCTCAATGGTGGGATGGCACTACTTTAAAGGACATTTACACAGACGAATTCCTTAGGGTAGGTAGACGACTCTAGATACTTGCTCTAAATTCAAAACAAATCAAAAATACTTTTCACACCGACACCTTTTCAAAAAGTTTTTGAAAGCAATTTTTCAAACACTCTTGAGGACCGATACAAGAGTCGAACTGGAATTTTCAAAGAAACTTTTTAAAACCCACAGTTGAAAAGCAAACAAACCATTTTTGAAAACACAAGTGAGCAAGTATCTAAGAGCCCATGGATAACCATGGATAGAAAGGGTGCTAACACCTTCCCTTTCTATAATCTACCTCCCGAACCGAGAGCAATCTCTTTAAGGAATTTTTCTGTGCTTTTGTCCTTTCCATTTGGAGAAAATAAAAGACGGTGGCGACTCTTGCTTCTGCGACATTTCGCGAACCAGCTTTAAACAGTCAGTTCCAGATCCACCGATCACAGAGGGTAATGTTTCAGACACATGTTTATGTGTGAAAGACTTGGTTGCGAAATCAAAGCCGGATGGAACATGGATAATACTTGACTTCGATAAGGATCATTGTGCAATAGGACAAGCTTCTGGTTTGTTAGCGGGGTATTAAGGTGTAATTATTAGAATGTTTAAAGACTTTCCCATAATATTCAAGAGTTGGAAGGATATTCTAGCGGATACAAAAACAAATTCTTATGAATCAAAGATAAAGGTGTCATTAATAAACAATTACATATTTTTTAAATTAATTTCATGGTGATTATTATTTATTTTGTCAACTAATTTTTATTTTTATGTTTAGCGCCATTTTCTTGTAATGATGGGCGTGACAAATAATTCATATTTGCTCCTGCCTCAAAGAAATTGAGGGATGCCCGATCTCAATTGTTTCGCCAATATTATAGATGGGATCTCACTTTGGAGGAAAATCATCAAAATTTTCCAAAACACATAGGCATTCTGGAAAACGATTGGGCTATTTTTGTTCATTATAGGCGGAAAGAAAAAACATAGGTAATATTAGTTTTTTTATTTGTTAGATTTCTCTGGTTTGTAAGTTATCCCTATCTATAACAAGTGTTTTTATTTGTTACCAATGTAGAAATTAGCCCCAAAAATGCCAAAATAAAGCAAAATTGAAGGCTCCGCATACACTTGGATCTAAGTCGCTTGCAAGGAAGAAACATGAGTTGGTATGTATAAATCTACATAATATTGATTGTATGCCTGATAGCACAAATGATTAATATTTGTTCTTATTTGTAGGAATCGAGAGATAGACGAACATACAGTAGAGGAGAAATGTATGCAATTTCTCATAAAAAGTCTGATGGGTCTTTTGTCAATGAAGATGTATATAACAATAATGTAAGTATAAGTTAATTATTTTGAAATACTTTTTAGCCTCCTTAAGGTTTGATAAAAACTCAAACCTTTTGGTATCTCTTAGAGGTGGGGAGAACCTGTCTGAAAATTGATTATTAAGTTACATTTCTTTTATGGTTCTACTAAGTTACCGTTTTGTTATAGTTTTACTAAGTTATAATTAATTAGTCTTACACTTTGTCTCATGAAATTTCAACTTGTATTTTTGAGAACCTATAATTAGAAGATTCAAAGACAAGTATCATGTTATTATGCATGCATTTCACTTAGACTAAAATTCCAAGGTGCTTGCAGACCATAAAAACTAAAGATACTGTTTTCATTCCACTCATGTATTAGTGAGCTTTAAACTCCATTTAAACACTAATGTATATACTGTTTGAAGTTGTAGTTGTTTGAAAATAATTTAAATGATAAAGCTCATAAGAAATTGTGATGATTATATTGCACCCTGCACTATATTGCATAACACATTCGTAGTTAAATGCAGCCACTAATTTGACACGTAACCATTTTCCACTTTCTATGGATTTTATAGCATTTGGATTATTATTTGATTATGTAATTTTAAAGTGTAAAATTTTATTATTGTTACAGTATAAATATGAAAAATATGAAAAATAATACAGCAACAAAAGTAACAAAAGTAACAAAAGTAATATTATTGGATTATTGGATTATATTATTGGATTATATGAATCTTACAATAACAAAAGTAACAGAATTTTATTATTGGATTAAATGGATCTTAAAGTAATAAATGTAATATGAACAATATACGTTAGCTACTGCATTCTTACTATATTTTATAGCTATTGCATTCTTGAGCGCTGCCCCATATAAATTAGTAGTAAATAAGTAGTATATTTTGTAGCTAAGCATTTCCCTTTGCTCTTTTTCATGTGTAGGAAAAATTACAAGCTGCAATTAAAGATTCTGTTTATGAAAATGAGGCATTTCAGAAAGTATTTGGAAAAGAACAACATGGATATGTTCGTAGTGTGGGACTAGGAGCTACACCATCTCAGATTAATAGATCTACGAGATTGGCATCTTCTTCTGCAGAAAATGAAAAAAAAAGGAAATGCAAGAAGAAATTAATGCACTTAAAGAAAATAATTCAAAAATTGACGAATTGATGGAGGCAGTCACATTCCTAATGCAAAGGGATAATGCTAGGGCAAAGGAAATTGAACTCTTATTGCAAATGCAAAATTCTAGTGGAAGACGGGTATATTATTTTGATTCATTTAAAGTTGAAGTTTATGAGTATTATTTTAAAGAGTATTATTCTAATACTTTTTTTAGGGATTGGAATCACCCGCTGATGGTAGACGTTCATCTGAGTCTAGCTACCGAATTTAGATAATGGATCATCAAGAAGGACAAATTAGAATTTGCTATGAATTAATTAGATTATGAACTTTCCTATGTATTTTTGGCATAATGATACTTATTATTATAAAATTAGAATTTGATATGTTTTCAGTTTTTTGTACTACATTACATGATTATGAACTCACATTTTATATGATTATGAAACTTGCATATTTTTGATATTATGATACTTAATTGATATTAAATGTTTTTTATTAGAATTAATTTTATTACGTTACAAAGTGATTGAAAATAATACTATATATAAAAATATTATAGTAGAAATAATTTAAAGAAAAAAATATTAAAAATTATAATACTATAAAAACACAGTCACAACGGTATTGAACCGTCACAATCAATAATTAAAAAAAAACTCAAAAGAGTGTCACGACGGTACCGAACCATCACCATTACCAATTAAAACAAACGCAAAAGATAGTCATGACGGTAACGAACCGTCGCCATTAAAAATTTAAAAACTCAAAAGATAGTCACGACGGTATCCAACCCGTCGTGAACTTGAGTGACATTTGGTGTTGCGGTTTGTGCGACCATCGCGAAACAGGATGGGGACACACATTTTTGGGATTGTGAAGCAACCGTCATGGATAGCAAATTGCGACGATTTTAACCTTCATAATCTACCAAAATAACTGTCGCAATCTGCCACTTTTCTTGTAGTGGTAACCAAATTGTCGCAGAGCCAGAGAAGGATTATAGATTATGCCTCCTCTAATGCCGAGTAGTGGGACATTAGGGAACTCCCCGCAGTGGTCAATAATAGAAATATCTCCCATAGATTGGGAATACCAGAGAATATCCGCATGAGAAAGTGACATTATCATTTGCGACCAGCCCAAACCTTCTTCATTCTTCAGTACTATTTTAGGGAGGTGAGAAATAAACCACCTCGAAAGCAATGGCACACAACATATAAGAATACCTCTGTTCTTCATGGTACGAGTGTGGAAGGTATGCAAGATGTCTCTGAGTAAAGTGGGCACGGGGTTGCGAGAGAGGAAGACCTTGATAGCATTCACATCTATGAGTAAGTCTGGATTAGGGAACAATACTAACCCATAAATTAGAAGGGCCAAGACATCCTCAAAAGCCTGGAAGTCCAAATCATCCCAAAACAGCCGAGCCTTCTCTATTAGGAACTTGGCTAGAAAACCCTTAACTCTGCTTCTTGTTTCCCAGTTGGATACAATGGCGGACCGTTTCAGATGCAAAGCTGCTGCAATGATCTTTGGCTTTGGATCTTCTTCCAAACCGGTGAAAGGCAACTGATCCAAAATAGGTATACCCAATATCTGAGAGAACTCTTCCATGGTGGGTACCAACTGATAGTTTGGAAAGGTGAAGCAATGGTGCTTAGGGTCAAATAATTGAAAGAGCACACTCATCATCTTCTCATCAAAACCCGAGGTAACCAGATTGAGAAGTTGACCATAGTTCTTGGTGAATGAAGAAGACTTAGAAACCCTTGATACTAGCTCTTTAAGTTGAAGAGGTATTCTTATAAAGCTGATTTGGATGGTATGTCTACGAGCGGAAGCCATGATCTGCAAAATAAAACAAAGATAAATTCCCCTAATCCTTGAAATGGTTAGTGTAATGAAGAATGAATGCATGATGTCATGTTTAAGCAAATTAATCACGCACAAGCAAAGCACACAATAGACCTTAGGTTCAAAGGCTTGCATGAGGTTTAAGGTAAGTACCCTCTTGAAGTTTAGTTGGTTTTAAACATGTCCTAGAAATAGTAACCGGGTTCTAAGGAGTTACAATATCATTGATCTTTCTTTATCGATATTATTTCAGCTTAGCAATCTTTTCTTGCGGCCGAAACATCCCAAAAGTCTAATCTCAATGAGTGTAGTATCGAGTATTACCTGATTCCCAGCTTTACATCGAGGTCTGCTATCTCACTACTTTCTAATGGCCAATTTTGTTCAACTAAGGTTCTAAGATTCGTTAGTGCTTCATGTCACCACGCGGCGGCCCCGTATTCTCCTTGATTCAACACAAGGGATACCGGTACCAACCAAAGTGTCACACCAACACAGTTATCGCTTCAACCATATCGGTCTATGTCGTACAATCTCCACGATCTATTGTTGTTTACCTAAAAAGATGCCCCAGATCCGAGTATAGGATCTATACAAGAATACCCCAACAAACCCTCAAAGATAAAGCAATCAAGGAAAGCAAAGAAAGCAATTTTAAATGATCTAGACCCTAAGGTAAACCCCACTATATAATCAGTCCCCAACAGAGTCGCCAGTTCTGTGATACGGTGGCAGAACTGACTGTTATACTGGTTTGTATTTTGTATTTGTAAATGTCGCGGTAAGTAAGAGTCACCACCTACTTTTATTTTATCCAACAAAGGAAAGGGTGAAAAGAACAGAAAAGACCTTTTTTGAGGTTTTGAGTAAGGGGGGTAGATTATAGAAAGGGAAGATGTTAGCACCCTTTCCATCATTGGTTTTCCATAGGCTCTTAGGTACATTCCCATTTTTGAAAACTGTTTTCGTGTTTGTGTGTTTTGAAAGGTTTTGCTTTATGATAACTCTTGTATCAGTCCTCAAGAGTGTGATAAAGCATTTTTGAAAGTAGTTTTGAAAGTGTGGTGTGAAAATGAATTAGATTTGAGCAAGTACTCAACAACTATCTACCTACTCAAAAAAAGCGTTATTTTCCTCCTTTCCTTTAGATAGTGCCATCCTACTATTAGTGAGTAGGTAGCCCTATCATTGGATGTTGAGGGACTATCGTAAGGGACATTTATGATCATTGAAGGTAACATGTAGAGATAACTTAGCAGTTCGAAGGGACTGTCATCATATATTCATAGGCAACATCGAGGGACAAGATCATATCTCGTAGGAAACTCGAGGGACATTGAGGTACTATGATCTTTATGATGACTTTAAACTGATGGTCTTTCTAATGTGGCTGTGTATTCCTTTCCTTCTCCCCCTTTGACAACATAAAAAAGAAACAAGGACATGGATTAAGAGAACAAAAAAAAAATAGAATGACCAATATTTTGCAACTTTGCAAAAGAACACAAACTAACATACACACAATATGAAGCAAGTGCAAACGAAAATAGATGCAATAACTAATAAAGTAAAACAATACGATGTTCATTGTTACAAACCCAAAATAAAACACAAAGTAGTACGGGGAAGTAAAACAGTTTAATACAAAACCATAGTAATATAAGCATAACAAGCAAGAAATAAAGTGCCAAGCATTAACTAATGTTGTTGTTCTTCATTGTCTTGTGGTGGTGCAACATGTTGGTTTGGTGGAAAGCGAGCCATGAAAGCCGACTGAAAGTTTGCCAAGTTTGTGTTTTGCGTTTCCATCATTTCATGAATAGTGTTATATCGGCGGTCTTAGAGGCTAGCATAATCATTAAACTGAATGTTTTGAAGGTTGACTATTCCAGCAAGATTGTTAATTTGTCCATTTTCTAATACCATGTCTTCATGATAGTGGACATGCATTTCCTCAAGTTTGCGTATCACCTCGTCATAGGATCTATGAGGCTCATGGTCATCATTGCCTTCATCAGTTTCTTCATCCTCTTCCGCACTTTCTTGATTCTCAGTACCAACTTCACCGCCTTCAGCATCTTCTATTTCATCATCCTGTTCAACATCTTCATTTCAAAATATTACTGAGTTTGACTTCACAAAGTACTTGTACTTACCAAGCTGGGGATTTCATTGATGACCCATAAGTGTGAGAGTTTTGGAGGTAAAATCTGAATCCGGCAGAATAGGTGTAGGTGAAATACCAGTAAGATCAAGGTTTGCTTAACTTAGAATTCCATGAATGAATGATGGATACGCCAAAGCAGATCCTCTAGGGGGAATCCCTTAATGCAAATAAACGGCTAGTGATGTAATACGGCCAATTAATCTTAATTTTGTTTAGAATAGCCCAAATTAACATAACCTCAGGTTGATCAATACAGGACAACCCACCCTTTTTGGGGCGAATTATCCTTGACACAATCTATTGCATAATTCGAGCTAGAGGAACCAATTGACCTGTTGTGACAGTTTTTGGAAAAGCACTACTTTGCACAAATTCTCAGGATATGGTCTTAACATGGAGTTCAAGGCATGTTTGAAGTCATAGTCTGCAACAAGCTTAGTGTCGGTGATTTTAACAGCATTAGTGTCAACAGGGAACAACTTAAAAGTTTTCCAAATTTCATCATCTACCTTGACCACCTTATTTGCAATTCTGTATGAAAATTGGTGATCAGAGAATTTACCTTGTATACTCGCGTAGAATACCTTGACGAGTACCTCGTTGTAGTCTCCATCCAACTCAAGGAATGGAAACACCTTTTGATGGTCCAAGAATTCCACCACATCTGAGATATGCAGGCTTTTGAGAGTGTTACGGAAGGCACATAATTGCCTAACCAACCTTCTTCTAGCAAACTTTTCATCATATTTTTTAGTGAGATCAGAAGGAAGAAGTGATAGAGGAGTAACCCGAGTTTGATTTGAAGAGCTACCTCTGATACTTCTTTTCTTTGTTTCCCTTGAAGCCATGGATGAAGGTTTGGAGAGATTTGGAGTTGAAATGACACTGTGGTTTTTAGGGTTTTGAGATGGAGAGGGAGGCCGAATGAATGCTAGAAAGAGGGAACAACAAAACAACAAATGGATGCATGCAAATGGAACCACGCAATACAAACTAGGATATGATGGGCTGCCAAACAGCA